GACCCTGAGCCTGGAGGAGCTAAGATGTGGGGCTCCCTAGACACTCGGAGCACACGGGCCAGAGGCATCTCAGGGCTCACCCTGTATGGTTTCAAGATTTGGGGTTCTGAAATGGCCCTTGTTGCCTGGTCTGTCCCTTTCTTTTTTGTTGTTGTCATTGGTTGGTTGGTTAGCCAGCCAGGGACACAGGGCTGCCTAGAGCAGGCTCATGTTAATGACCCTGTGGGGTCTTCCTGTCTTGCCCACTTGAGTGGCCCGGTCACTGTCTTCTACCATCCTTCCTGCCCAAGCAGCTCCTTCGCTGTCCCCTGCTGCCTCCACCACCCGCCCCAGAGTGCTTAGTCACTGTTCCCATGTGCAGGAGGAACAAGGTCTTGAACCACTTCAGCATCATGCAGCAGCGGAGGCTCAAGGACCAGGACCAGGATGAAGATGAGGAGGAGAAAGAGAAGCGCAGCCGCAAGAAGCCTAGCGAGCTGCGCATCCATGACCTGGAGGATGACCTGGAAATGTCCTCGGATGCCAGTGATGCCAGTGGCGAGGAGGGTAAGTGGAGGTACCCAGAGGTTTTAGGTCAAGGACAGGGCCACCAGTGAAGCTCATGACACATGGTCCCTCTAGAAATGAATGGCAGCTTAACAGCATTTCCATGGGATCCGTTTGAGTGTTTTAAGGGTGCTGTGCTGCGGGTCACAGGGCTGGGTGACTGAGTGGCAGTATTGGTGGAGTGGTATGAGGGCACAGGAGGGATAAGTGCCTAAGCTAGCCTTCTGCTTTCTCTACACATTGGCCGAACCTGGGATGCAGTGTCCTTGTCAGGGTATAACACATGAAGACATACCTCAGATGGTGCGCTGGCTGCAATCCCAGACCTCGGGCTTGAGGCAGGAGGATCCAGAGTTCACAACCAGTCCTGCCTGGCTATATGGACTCCATCTTAAAAAACAAAGGGCACACCTTTAATCCCAGCCTGGGAGGCAGAGGCAGGTAGTTCAAAGCCAGCCTAGTCTACAGAGCAAGTCCCAGGACAGCCAGGGCTACACAGAGAAACCCTGCCTCACCACCATCCCCCGCAAAACAAAACAAAGCAAAAAACTAAAAAAAGTGTTAGATGAATGGCTTTAGAGGTAGAGCCCTTTCCTGAAACCCCACACAACACAGTGATACAAGGTGGGGTCTGGTGGCATGGCTGAGATGGAGCCCCTGCCTGACTGTGAGCAGTGTTCTGGGCTCATCTCCAGTCTGATCCCCATCCTATATTTTCTTTCCCTTCACAGGCAGCAGAGCCTCCAAGGCCAAAAAAAAGGCCCCATTGACCAAAGCGGGCAGGAAGAAGAAAAAGAAGAAGGGCTCAGATGATGAGGCCTTTGAGGACAGCGATGATGGGGACTTTGAGGGCCAGGAGGTGGACTACATGTCAGATGGCTCCAGGTGAGGCAGCTCGAGGCAGGCCCGAGGTAGCACAAGGCAGGCCTATGGTCATCCATCTTCATGTTTGCCCTTCTCTGCCTCACAGCAGCTCCCCAGATGAGTCAGAAGGCAAACCCAAAGTGCCACAGCAAGAGGATGGCCCCAAGGGTAGGTGTCAGTTAGGGAACAGCTGGGGGTGGGAGTTCGCTCGGCAGCCTTCCTGCTCATATGTGTGTCCCCAGGCGTGGATGAGCAAAGTGAGAGCAGTGAAGAGAGCGAGGAGGAGAAGCCCCCTGAGGAAGACAAGGAGGAGGAAGAAGAGAAGAAGGTCCCCACCCCACAGGAGAAGAAACGCAGGAAAGGTATGTGGGGTACTCGGGAGGCTCAGTGATGCTGCAGTATCCTGCTCTCCTCTCACCTGTGTGATGGTGGGCTGTGCTTATGACCCTCCTTTGGCCCATGCAGACAGCAGCGATGAGTCAGACAGCTCAGAGGAGAGCGACATTGACAGTGAGACTTCCTCTGCACTCTTCATGGCGGTAAGGCATATCCCGGGGCGGGGCGGGGCTGGGATGGTAGTGGCAGTCTGCTCCTTCAGACTTACACCCTAGTTTCTGCAGAAGAAGAAGACACCCCCCAAGAGGGAGCGGAAGCCGTCAGGGGGTAGTTCTAAGGGTACCAGTCGGCCAGGGACCCCGAGTGCAGAAGCAGCAAGCACCTCTTCCACACTGAAGGCTGCAGCCAGCAAGCTGGAGCAAGGTGAGTGCTCAGAAATGAGAGCCGATGGCAGTCTACACATCCTCTGTACACCGGGTGCCCCATCTGCCCCCACCCCCACCCCAACATTACTCTTTTCCACCAGGGAAGCGGACAGGTGAGACTCCAGCAGCTAAGCGCCTACGGATGGACACAGCCCCTCAGAGCCTGTCTGGGAAGTCCACACCCAGTGGCGGGTAGGTTCAGACCCAAGTAGGGATCACAGTCTGGAGTGGGCCACAAGGGACTCTTATGTGACCAGTGTCTCCCTCCCTCCATCTCCCACAGTGATGTCCAGGTGACAGAGGATGCTGTACGCCGATACCTGACTCGTAAGCCCATGACCACAAAGGACCTGCTGAAAAAGTTCCAGACCAAGAAGACAGGGCTGAGCAGTGAGCAGACTGTGAATGTGCTGGCGCAGATCCTCAAGCGCCTCAACCCTGAGCGCAAGATGATTGGTGACAAGATGCACTTCTCCCTCAAAGAATAATGCTAATAAAGAGAGCTGACCCAGAGTATGAGCAAGTCCTCATTGTTACTCCAGTCCCCCTCCTGGGGGGGAGGGGGGACACAGCCTTTCTGCCCACTGAGCTTGACCCCTGTGCAATCTTCATGAGTTCAATTTCACTTGTAGAAGCTCTTCCCTAACCACTCCCACAACCCCCTACCTTGTATCATTGTGTCGTATAGGGTTTATGGTGGCCCTTGTCTGGGAATGCTCAGCTTCCAGCCATCCTTTAGGAGTGCAGGCTTGGGATCTGCTGTTTCTGCAGCACAGTGATGAAGTGGTGGGACTCAGACTTGCTACCTAGCACTCTTCAGTGAGCTACATGGCCAGTCCTCTTTAACTGTTGTAGCTGAGGCTGGCCTAGAACTCCTGATCTTCCCACCTCCACCTCTGGGATGCTGGGATCATAGTCACGTACCACTAACAGGCATGGCTCTTTTACTTTGTCTTTTGAGAAAGAGTCTTGCTGTGTAGCCCCAGGCTAGCTGGGAACTCAATTTCCCAATGCTAGGATGATAGCCATGTTCCCTGTATACAGCCCAGGCCATTTAGTTTGCAGTTCTTGGCTCAGGTGCTTCCTTTCATGGCTACTGGAATCCAAACCTATTCTTGGTGTTGGCACCTAGATGCTGTTTTCCATTTCCAAGTGACATTCCTGGGGTCCCCCTTATCTCCTGACAGGCCCAGCAATATATCTTATGCAGGCTAGCCGGGCGTTGCTCCGGGAGAGTGCTTTACATTCTTGGGTGGTGACATGGCTGATTGGTCCTTGGCCTTAGCTGCTACCTTGAAAGCTGGGTCCTGAGCAGCCTGGGTACAGGGAGGGCTTCCTCTCACTGGCAGCTGGATACCAGTGGAAACCCACTCCCACTTTTTGCTGGTGATTTGGGAATGGTTGCAAAAAGGGGTTAATCCCTAGGAATGGCCCTGCTCACTGAACCTCTCTGTCCCACTATCTGCTTGCCCTTTGGAAACCTGGGTCTAAGGCGATATCCACCTTAGGGCAGGCAGAGTATGCATGGCATGGCCTTGTAGTTAGGGGCAGAACTTTGTGTTCAGGGAACCTATTTCAAACTCAATTCTGCATGATAGAAGTGACTTTTGGTTTTGAAAGCCATTGCTTTCTTTCCCTTTTTGAAATAAAGTCTCATATAGCCCAGGCTGGCCTTGAACTAGTGATCCTCCTGCCTTAGCCTCCCCAGTGCCGGCTGAGATCACAGGCACACACCATCATGTGTTTTGGATGGATGGATGGAACCTAGGGTTTTGTATATGCTCAGCGCAGCTCTAGCCGTCTGTGTGTATGTGTGTGTGTGTGTGTGTGTGTGTGTGTGTACCTGTGTGGCATGCACATGCCACCACATGCATGTGATGATCAGAGAATAACTCTGCAGTCAGTTCTCTTCTATCATGTGGATTCTGCAACTCAGTTAGGTCAGGTGGGGGTGGCAAGGGCTTTAGCCTGTTGAGCTCTCACCATCACTTACTGTTTTGAGCCGGTCTCATTATAGCTTATGCTGACCACAACCTGCAGCGATCCTGCCCTGGTCTCCTGAACACAGGGTTGACCAAGAGTGAGCAGTATGCAGTGTCATACCCGGCATCAGTTTTATTCCTTTGCCTCCAAAGTCCTTGGTTTATTGTTGCCCATATCCACTTGCTGGGTCTCATGGGTTCAGAAGTTGGCAGAACATGATCCTTCTTGGGAATGATGAGATCCAGCAAGCTCCAGTCTCCCCTAGGGCTCTAATGCTCCAAAACCCAGATTGGCTATGGCTGTGGCTTTTCAGGTTGGCCTTCCAAGAACGGGAGTCCCAGCCTTGCCTATCACCTAGACTCCCTTTTCCTGTTTTGATCCTGGTTCAGCCAAGCCCGGAGACAAGGGTTCGATGTTTTAATCCTGGCTAAAGCCAAGATGGAGGGATGCCCACAGACCCTTTCATCTGCCAGGTGTCCTTCCCAGTTCCTATTGGCCCCACATGGCCCATAATCTAGTACAAGACCTACAATAGGACCCCTCCCAGCCCTCCTGAACTTCCTACCAAAGGCAGGTGGGGTGGGGACACAGATTGGTGGCCAACTCTGGGCTTGCTTCTGGCTGATAGTAGGATACTCATAAATCAGGGGCATCAGAAATGGGTCTATGGAATGTCTGGGTGGGTAAGCCATCAATTCTTAAGAGTTAGGATGTGGGGACAAGCTGGGTGGGACTCCACTGGCTTCCCTGGGCCATGATGCTGGCAGTGAGTTTAATCCCCAGGACAGGCAGAGAATAAATTGAGGACACCAGGGTCTCTCAGCATCCTGGGACCTCCCTGTCACAATGGCTGCAGGAAGACTAGCACTCATGTTTCTGCTGCTCCTGCCCTTACACCTGAGCCTCTGCTGGGACCGAGATCCTCAAGGGGATCCAGTGGCAAAAGATGAGATTTCATCTAAGGAGATGGCAGAGACTGCAGGGCCCTGGAAGCCCTATCAGGGTAAGAATTCCTGGGGGCGCCTTGTCACTCCCCAGTTCCTTCTCTTAAAGCCCTCATCATACCTCATACTCATGTTCTACCCTGCACTAGGTAACAGCCATGTCCGCCTTCCAAGAGCCCTGGTTGGTCCATGCCAGCTGTGGAGCCTGACCCTGCCAGTGGCTGAGCTGGGCCTGGGCTATGCCTCAGAGGAGAAGGTCATCTTCCGATACTGTGCTGGCAGCTGTCTCCGAGAGGCCCACACCCAGCACAGCCTTGTGCTGGCCCGGCTTCGAGGGCAGGGTCGAGCCCATGGTCAACCCTGCTGTCAGCCCACCAGCTATACTGATGTGACTTTCCTCGATGATCGTCACCGTTGGCAGCAGCTGCCTCAGCTCTCAGCTGCTGCTTGTGGCTGTGGTGGCTGAAGGTGGCCAGCTTTGTGTCTCAGAATCACAAGCATGAGGCAACCTGGGCTTTGAAGGGTTCAGGTGACATTTATTAGAACCTTGCATACATAGATTGAGAAGGAAGGGAACCTGGGAATGGGTATCGGCAATTAATGCAATAAATGTTCTAATGGCCTTAGGAGTGTGTGTGTGTGATGGGGTACACCCTGGCAGCCACCAGGCTATGTGGGTTCTGACCTGGCAGTGGTAATTAATTTGAAGATGCCCATAACATTCTTTTTCCAACTTTATTCACAAGTCCAGAGGATAGGTGTAGAGGTCAGCAGGCTGGGGGTGGCTTGCCTGGCCTTCCTGGCCCTATCCCCTCAGGGAGGGAGCGGCAAATCACTGAGATACGTCGGCCCCGGGGGACCCGGTGCTCCCCAAAAAATGATTCTTCATCTCGAAGGATCTCATGGGAGAAGTCATATCGGGCTGAACCCCTGCAAAAAGAGACAGGCTGAGTGTGGTAGGTGGAGAGAAACCCTGTTCCTTCAGCATCTCTTCACTTTTCCTGAGCGATGGTGGCAGCTTCCTCTAATGTGAGAGCACCAAGAAGAGGTGTCAGAAGCATTGGGCCTCATCTGGGGGCTTCTTGGCAAGGCATTACCTTAAAATATAGAGGGAGCCTGGCTCCAGCAACAGTTCCAGCCACTGCTCAGGTTCCTGGGTGTGCACCAGCTTCATAACACTTGGGGACAACAAGGAAAGGCCAGCGATAGTGGATCCACAGAACTAGAAGAAAGGTAGTGTCTGTATGTGTGGGAGGGTCAGGCTGAGATCTGCCCTCCTGCCCACTCAGGCTTGGAGTTCTGAGGGACAGCCTTCTGCCTACCTTGACACTGTCAACATGGGGCTTGATGTAGCCCTTAGGTTCCAGGTCCAACACGTGGACCAAGGATAGCAGGGTCTGGTCAGGGCCAAAGGCAGCAGCCTGGACCCGCTGCAGGATGGCTTGGCTTGCATCAGACCATCGGGATTTCTCTGTCTCCCTGAAGCCGTGGATAGCCTACACAGAGAGCACAGGTCATGACTGGGAACTTCCAGGACAGGGAAATGAGGCAAAGAGGGTAGTTCGTGTGGTCTCCAGGTTCTGATTTCCAGTCCCTGGTGCTGGTCACCACAGTATTATTCAGTGTCCGTCTTCGGGCTCAACTTAATCCCACTCAAGATCCTAGTGAGATCCCAACTGCTGGCGCTCCCTCACCCGAGTCGTCCTTCTATTCTTGTCAAGGCCCCTCAGCTGCAGAATCTCATGTCTAAAGTGATCGTGCCCTTGCAGCCATCCCTTGGTGCCCACCAAGGACCTCCCTTCTGATCCCAAGCCTATGAGTGAATACTACACTGCTCTAGTCCCTTGAGCTCAATCCTCCCCGTTCACCTTTCCAGGCTCTGGCCCCTTCCCTACTCTAGGTCTCAACCACAGCCCCCCCAGCGGCAGGCCTTCCCCCGTACTCAGCTCTGACATCAAGATCATCAGCCTTGTTCCAAGATCCGCTCTCGGGACATCTCTCCCGAGCTGCCCAGCACCCGCCACGTCCCACACCACAGCAGCTGGTCGCATGCTGCCATCGGAGCTGGGTGCCCAGTCCCACCGGAACCGGACTATCTCGGCTCAAAACACACCGCCCACAGCCTGGCCGAACCCGGCCCCAGTGCTCGCTCTCTATTCCACGGCCTCGCCCCTCACCGCTTCCCAGTGGTCTTATTCCTAGTTCTCCGCCCCGCCTCATCGAGGCCCCGCCCACTTACCGCGTCCCAGTGGTCGTACTCATAACGCCGGCGTCGCAGCTGGGGCTCCAGTTCTTGTGTTAGCGTGTCTTCCTCCGCCTGGCTCAGAAAGCCCGGCCGCACTACGGCCTCGTCGCGCAGGCGACTCAGCACGGCGGAGTCTGAGCCACGAATCCAGCCGCACCTAGAAAGCACCCGCATCGCCAGGCTCCCGCCGCCTGCCATCTTCAGGCGACCTCTTAAGGTCAGGCCACGCCTCCGCAAGCCATTGGCTGGGGCCCTCCCTCCAGCTCTGAGCCCGCCTCCTACTGCACACCATTGGACACGAGCACGCGCCCACTCTATTAGCTGTGCCCCAAGTCCATCTAATGTTGGTCCCGCCTCTGGGCCCTGATTTGATCTGTCAGGTTCAGGAGTGAGGTGCTCAATCTGGGATAACCATAGTTCGAGCAAAGTCAAGGTTAGAGGTTCAACCAGTGTGATAGCACAGGCTGGTTGCCTGTCAACCAGCACTTGGTGGAGCGAGGGACAACTTCAAGGTCATCCTTGGCTATACACATGAGTTTGAGGACAACCTGAACCACAGGAGATACTACATGCCTCCCCATGACATCCAAACAAGTAAGACCCATTAATACAACCCACACCTCAAATGTTCTGAATTAAAAAGCCAAAAAATTGTTTACTGCCACACTACCCTAATAACATCTGGACCCACGATGATGGCTCAACAGATATGGGTACTTGCCACCGAGCCTGGTGACTTTGGTTTGATCCCCCAGAACCCACAGACACAGTGGAAACAGGGAAGCCACTCTTGCAAGTCATCTACTGACTTCCACAGGGACACTGGCACCTGCCACCTCACCCACAAATAAACTGGTCCAATTTTCCTTTTTAGCTACATCTATATATCCACCCAACCCTCTCCATTTTTATTTTAAAAAATCCAAAGTTTCCCCTACCATTCTTTCTGGTGCCAGTCTGCTTTTGGACCCTGCAGCAAAATGCCAGGTCTCATGGGTATGAGGATCAATCCAAAGCTTCTGGTGGCTCCTCCAGCCAATGAGACTACCTAACCCTCCAGGGGCAAAAACAGGCTCAGCCAGTTCTGGCACCCACAGGGAAGCTCCAGGGGACCCAACACCCTCTTCAGGTCACCAGGGGTACTGCACTCATGTGCACAAACCCTCACATAATCAAAAGTAAATGTATAAAACTATAGTTCTATCTGCCAGCTGTGGGCTAGTATATGGCTTAAAAGTTTGCTAACAGCTAGACATAGTGGAACACACCTTTAATCCTAGCACTCCAGAGGCAGAGGCAGGGGGATATCTGAGTTTGTGGCCGGCCTACTCTACAGAGCAAGTTCCAAGACAACTATGGCTACACAGAGAAACCCTGTCTTGAGAAACAAAACAAAAATTGTCATGGAGTCAAGGTAGGAGGGGCCTGGTATCTTGGAGATGTAATCGAAGATGCCTCAGACATGGGACAAAAACCACAAGGTTTAATTTAAAGTCTTAGCAGGAGGGCAGCCTCAATCTGCATTCTCTCCAGGGGTATCTCTCTGGGCTCAGCAGAGGAAGTGTGTGCAGTCCTGGGTCTCCACACTGGAGATGAGGTCAGACCCTAGGTGCTTGCTGGGACAGGAGGATCGGCTGATGCTGCAGGAGTCTCCTTCTGTACCAGTTCTGGTTCATCCTCTCCATCCTGAGGTGGGTGGACCAGGACCTTGTCCAAGATGCCAAATTCTTGGGCCTCCATGGGGCTCATATAGCGGTCCCTCTCCATGGCTGACTCTGGAGGCAGGTGAAGCAGTACATGTAGGTAAGAACAGAGACCTAGGATGCTTTCCCCCAATTTCTAGGTTGAAGTCAATTCAGTAGCAGGATGGTTTATGGAGTTATGAGGATGGGACCCCTACCATGGGATCTGTGCCCTTATTAAAAGAGAAAACCATTTGATGCTAGAGCAGAGAATCTAAAGTTAAAGGCCAACCAGGGCTACATACCAAGATCACATCTTTAAAAACAAAATAAAAACAAGCTGTGGGACACACCTTTAATCCCAGCACTCAGGAGGCAGAGACAGGGGGATCTCCCAGCCTGGTCTACTGAGCCAGTTCCCGAACAGGCTCCAAAGCTACAGAGAATCAATTGGTAAAGCACTGGTCTAGCCTGCACCGAACCTTGGTTCAAATCCCAGAACCACCTGTAATTCTGGCAAAGCAAAGGTATAGCCATTAGGATCAGGAGCTGAAGGTCAATGGTCAACCTTCCAGGTACCAGGTATTTCTGACCTTCCTGCTTCCAGGACTCAAATACACATTCCTGAATTTTTGCTTTCAGCCCATGATTTGTTCCAGCTCCCTGAGTTACAGAAGACACACGCTCATTCTGATAATTCTTCCCTGTGGGGCTCAGAACTTCTGAGTCTTAGTTTCCCCAGCAGTAAGAAATACATTTCTTGCCTGATGGTGGTGGCACACACCTTTAATCCCAGCACTCGGGAGACAGAGGCAAGTGGATCTCTGTGAGTTGGTCTACAGAGTGACCAACTCTATAAAGCCTGGTCTACAGAGTGAGTTCTAGGATAGCCAGGGCTGTTTCAGAGAGAAACCCTGAAAAAAAAAAAAAAAAAAAAAAATCAGGCAGGCTGGCCTCAAGGGGATTCTTCTGTCTGCACCTGCCAAGTGCTGGGAAGATAGGTGTCCGACAGCATGCCACATTGGTTTAATTTTTACTGACTACTCAAATATAGTCAGGTCCTCCTGAACACTGTCCTCTGACCTCTACATGTCAGAGTACACACATGCCTATCACACCAATAAAATACACCCAGGTCATGTGCTGCTATGTGGTGAATCTTAGATTTAACATATGTGACCAACAACAAGATAGATCAAAGAATAGCATGAGGGCCAGCAAGATGACTTGGCAGAAAGAGGAGCTTGCCACCAATTCTGATGAACTGGAGTTCAATCACCACAATGCTCAAGGTGTCAGAAAACCAATTTCTATGAATTGTCCTCTGACCTCCGCACATCTGCTGTGGCAGGCACATGTTCCCCAAATCAACTATTTAAAACAAAACAAAACCAAAATGTCAAACACCAGGGAAACCCTGCTGGCACCCACCAGCACCCAATGGTACCTATAACCCTTGTTACCTTCCCCCCACCCAAAATATCCTTTAGGAAAAATACACAGATCAGCTGAGCCAGTTCTCAAGGCTGATATATTTATTTTAGTCTGAGACTGAATCTTGCAATATTCTCTAGGTCAGTCTAGAACTCCTGATTCTCCTGCCTCCACCTCCCAGTCCTGGGATAACAGGTAGGTGCCACCACATCCAGCTTGCAAAGTTGATCTAAATGGCAGAGCAGGGGGTTTTAACCAGCAGGGATTCTGCCCATTAGGCTAGGAACTTTGCCAAGCCAGAAATGCATTCCTGGGGCTGGAGAACTGGCTTGGAGGTTGAGAACTTGTTCTGGCAGAGGACTCAGGTTCAATCCTCAGCACCCATAAGGTGGCTCACAACTGTTTATTACTCTGGTTTGAGGGGATCTGACACCCTCGTCTGACCTCCACTGGCACCAGGCACATATGCAATTTACAGACTTACACCCATATACACCGGGCAGTGGTGGCACACACCTTTAATCAGAGCACTTGGGAGGTAGGTGAATCTCTGTGAGTTTTAGACCACCCTGGTCTACAAGAGCTAATTCCAAAGCTATACATGGAAACCCTGTCTCAAAAACAAACAAACAAAAAACCCCATCCATATACATATAATAAAAATTAAATGAATTTTTTTAAAAAGGAAAGAAATGTATATTTGTTTTGCTTTTTGAAAGCAAGCCTCTCTGTGTAGCTCTGGCTGTCCTAGAACTTGTTTGTAGATCAGACTGTCCTGCCTCTGCCTCCCAATTGCTGGGATTATAGGTGTGTACCACTATCACTTAGCAAGAAATCTATACTTAAGGCACACTCCCAGCCCTCACTGGGGGATTCTAGGCAGGGCTCCACCACTAAGCCACACCCCCAGCCTTTAGAGGCACTTAGTTATCAGCATTGAAAGGGGCTACAGGCTACAGGCACAGCATTTGTAGGTTAATGATCCTACTGAACACCCAAAAGGCCCAGGGTGACCCCACTATAGTAATGTGGCTCTGAACGTCCAGGTGGGGAAGCCCTGGTTTGGGACAATGCTGATGCACTCACCAATCACCTGCAGGCTCTGCTTGGTGTGTTTGGCGTAGATGTTGTATAGCTGCTTCTTCAGCTTCATAATCTCCTCTGCCTGGATGGCAATGTCTGTGGCTTGGCCCTGAGGAAAGAGCAGTAGATGGAGGAGGAAGATGAAGCCGAGAGCATCCCATGGGACGCTAGAGTGAGGGAGTCCTGCAGTTTCTATTGCACGTTGATCTATTTTTACTTTATTTTACTTTTGTTTTGAGACAGGATATCTCTACATAGCTCTGGCTCTCCTGAAACTTGCTCTGTAGACCAGGCTGGCCTCAAACTCAAGAGATCCGCCTGCTTCTGCCACCCAAGTACTGGGATTAAAGGCATTCGCCCATCACTCCCGGCTCAGTTTTTGTTTTTTATCCTTTCCTCTGGTAGAGATGGAACCCAGAGTCTTGCCTGTGCTAAGCAAGCATTCTACCTTCGAGGAGCACCTTCCCAGCCATGGAAACACCTATCTTAAAACAGTGGCAGTCAGGAGGCAGAGGCAGGCAGATCTCAGCGCGTTAGAAGCAGTCTTGGTCTACAGAGTGAGCTCCAGCACAGCTAAGGCTACATGGTGAGACCCTGTCTCCAACAAAGAAAGAACAGTAGCCTACATTTCCTCCCACATCCCTGCAGAACTTGCACTCACCCTGGCACCTCCAGAGGGCTGGTGGATCATGATTCTGGAATTAGGCAGTGAGTGGCGCATGCCTGGGCTGCCAGCGGCGAGTAGCAGGGAGCCCATGCTGGCAGCCTGTCCAACACACCATGTGCAGATGGGGTTCAGAATATACTGCATTGTGTCATAGATGGCCAGGCCCGCAGTCACCACACCACCTGCAGGCAGTGGAGTAAGTCAGGGCCCAGTGGGATCCTCCTCTACCCTGGTAGGTACTGTTCCAGCAAGAAGTCACAAGGACAGTCCTTCCTTCAGAATCAGGTATGGTTAGACATGTACAATAGGACAACACACATGCACATATGCACAAGTCAAAAGGCTCTGCCAGGCACCTCTTAGCTATGAACCCTGGTCAGGCCATATGTCACCAGGAAGGGCCAGCCACTCCCACTCTCTAAGGCACACTTGCCCAGATCAGAAGCTTTATTGAGAAGAGAAATGAGTGTGCCATCTAGAACATTCTGTGAGAGGTGCCTGGCCTGACAAGGGCCCAAACAACACTGCCCATTCTTGGGTAAAGACACTCCCTACCAAGCCTGACAACCTGAGTTCAATTCCTGGGACCTCCTGACTTCTATACATGCACACAGTGACATACATGCATCCATCTACCCATAAACACACACTCATATAAACAAATGTAATCCTAATATATTTCTTAAAAATCAACTATTTCTGAAGAGTGTGGTGGTTCATACCTGCCGTCCTAGTTAAAGTGAAAGGACTTCAGAGAATCTGGGTAGAGTGGAACTTTATCAGCTGGTAAAGTTCTTGCTATACAAGCATATGAACATGAGTTCAGATCCCAAGCACCCACAAAACAGACAGAGTAGCACATGCTTGCCCTGTAATCCCAGTGCTGGAGAGGTGTAGACAGGTGTATCCTTGGGGCTTACTGACCAGCTAGACTAGCATACTTGGGGAAGTTCCAAGTCCTTTTGGAATGATTTTAAATAATTAATTAGTTCATTAGGTTTTTGTTTTTGTTTTTTTTTTTTTTTTTTTTTCCAAGACAGGGTTTCTCTGTGTAGTCCTGACTATCCTAGAACTTACTTTGTAAACTAGGCAGGCCTCTAGAGATCTGCCTGCCTCTGTCTCCTGAATGCTGGGATTAAAGGCATGCACCACCATACCTGGCTAAAAATCCTCAATTTTTGTGTAGCCCAGGCTGTCCTAGAACTCAGAGATCCACCTGTCTCTGCCTCCCAAGTGCAGGAATTAAAGGTATGTGCCATCATGCCATGCTTGGAGTGATTTTAAATTTTAGGTTCTGCAGAAAGCTGCTTCACACCTATTCTCCAGAGGGGATATTCCCAACCCTACAACCAGGTCAGGCCCTGCTCACCTGGGCTGTTGATGTACATGTGAATGGGTTTCTTGTTGCTTTCAGACTGTAAGAATAGCAGCTGGGCAATGACCAGGCTGGCGACACTGTCATCAATCTGTAGGTGTGGAGGGCAGAGTTGTCCCCAGGTTAAAGGTGGGCTGGATGAAGGCTTAAGGAGCCAGGAACCAGGAATTTGAGTATAGGAAGGGGATGGTCTGGGAGCCGCAAACACTGGAAGACAATAAACTGAGGACATGGCTGGGATATAGTTTAGTGGGTAGAGTGCTTGCCTAGCATGCTCAAGGTCCTGGTTTCAAGCATTGCCTAAACCTGGTGTGGTGGTACATATCAGTCATCCCACCACTTGGGAATTGGAGGCAAGAGGATATGGGTTCAAAGCCAGCCTGAGGTGGGGGTGGGAGCTGGAGAGATGGCTCTGTGGTCAAGAGCACTGACTGCTCTTCCAGAGGACCTGGGTTCAATTCCCAGCACCCACATGACATCTCACAACTATCTGTAACTCCAATATCACACAGACATACATGCAGGGTAATACACCAATTACATAAAATAAAAATAAATTTTAAGAAGAGAGAGAGAAAAAGCCAGCTTGAGCTACTTAAGACCCTGTCTCAAAAACACGAACCACCTGACCAGAGCTGGGGTTCATTGGGTAGAATGCTAGCTCTGAGTTCTATCCCCACCCAGTACTACAAACCTGGTGTGGTGGTACACCTTCATCCCAGCCCTAAATGTCATCATCAGCTACATGGGGACTTCAAGGCCAGCCTGGGACTCTGTCTCAGAAGACCACAAAACAAAAGCTGGCAAGACAGATTATGGTGGTGATGCACACTGACACCCAATATTTGGGAAGCTGAGGTAGGGGGACAGCAAGGTGGAAGCTAGCTTGGACTACATAACAGGAGTTTGGCTCAAATAAAAAAGAATGTTTCAGGTCAGGGATGAGGAAAACGGGGGTGGGGCACATAGTTTGACAAGGGGAGAAATGTTGGCGAGACAGCTAGGTGTCCCCAGAGCGCACCGGGTTCGCTCACCGGGCCCATGACGCACACGATGCGTTCCCTCAAGAGCCTCGAGTATATGTCATAAGCACGCTCGCCTCGACCCTGGTGGGAAAAGAAACAGAGGTGAAAGGTCAGCGATCCTCGCACGCCGCCCTCTCCCCTCAAGCCTCCACGCTTTGTCCCCACCAGGCCCCCGTACAGTCTGTTCCACCACGATGGGGATGAGCGGGAAAGCTCGCGTAGCAGTTCCATGCAGGCTCCTCCGTAGGGGTGAGCCGCTCCCAGAAGTCCATAGTGGGGAGGAACGCACGGCGAAGCGAGACAAGACAGAACCGTATCCGCCCGCAGCCACCCGGGCCTCCCCCAGCAGCACTCGGGGCCACATGTCGCCGCGCGCCCCGGCTTGGCTTCCGGAACTACAACTCCCAGCGTGCTTTGCGGAAGTCGCTCGCTCGTCCACTTCCGGGAACGGAGTGGGCGGGGCCGCAGAAGGCGGGTGGGTAAGTCTGTAGGCGGGGTCTTCGACGGAAGTAGGCGTTCAAATGAATAGGGGAATCTCGCTTCTCCCTTGCATGCAGGTTCCTGCACCGGGCCTCGCTGTTCCCCGGTGTCCATGCGGGAAGCAGCGCACCGCGGGGTGAGGCGAGGCCTAATGTGAGGCACCTGCCCGCCACCATTGCTCCTGCAACAATCTTCGGGTGTATGTGGTGGCCTGCAACCTATCCGTCTCCTGGAACTACAACTCCCAGGAGCTTTGCCTCCATGACTCCCAGGTATTGGCTTTCGGGAAAAAAAGGGGCAGAACCTAGATAGAAAGTAGAGTCCAGGACTCGCTAATGAATTTATTGAACAAAGCAGTTTAGGGAGTTGGGGAGGCTGAGGGAGGGCAGGGCGCCTGGAGGACTCGAAGGACCCCAGAGCAGGAGGCCTGGATGTTGCCAGAGGCACCGGACTTCGCTACACCTGTATTCGTTTTCAGACGGTGCCCAGCTTTCAGAAACGTCCCTTTATTGTCCCATCCCAAGTGGTGGACAGTTTCTGCTGTACAGTCCTGCACCTCGAACTGCAGCCATTAGACACAGATCCCAAAAACTCCCTCCACGGCCACACCTGTTTCTCCGTTGTCCTCTAGCCTAGCCTGTGCCCACGTTGGTCCTCACTCAGCCGCTGGAATTCCTTGGAAGAGGTGAAACTGATCCATCAAGCCTGCGACATGGCTCCTCATCAGTAACCTATGCACGCTTCTCCTTTGCCTTCTTTGCTCATATACTTGACTTCAGTAGCCACACTTCCCTCCATGTGAGACTCCCCTCTGCCCTGTGCTCTTTCACAGTGTGCCTACACCACCAGGCTGAGACATCATGTGTGCAGAAACTCACTGCCTTTGCTACCATCCCAGTCATATTCGGAATTTCCCCAAATTAGTTGTCACCTGATGTAAGCATTACTTAAAGTACTGATTGATTTTTGGTTTCGTCTTTTGTGTATGTAGAGCAAGAGTGTCACAGGGAGATAGACATAGAACACATTGGTTCATCTTCATTCGCAGTGCCAATCCTTGCTCCCCAGCCCCTCACTGGGGAATTCTCAGTGGGGTCTCTACCTCTGAGCCAATGCTTATTTAATATTCTTAGCAGCACTAAGAAACAAGACCTACTTCATCTCCAAATTACTAAGAGGAAACTAAATAAGCAATTTGTTCTAGGCCAAACAGCTAGCAAATAATAGACTGATACAAGGTGCTGATTTTCTCATTCTGCTAGGTCCCTTCTCTGCTTCAGCCCCAAATAAACACACAGACTTATATTACATATAAAACTGTTGGCTGATGGCTGGGGCTTCTTATTGGCTAGCTCTGTCTTAATTATTAAGCCATTTCTGTTAATCTATGTATTTCCACGTGGTCTTATCTTACCAGAGAAGGTTCTAGACCTGTTCTCCTTCGGCTACATGGCATCTTCTGCCTACTTTTCCCAGAATTTTCCTCATCTCCTAGTCCCACCTATCTTCCTGCCTCTATCAGCTATTGGATAAGCAGTGTTTTAATTCATAAGTCAATGAGAGAAGCATATACATAAGGACATCCCCCATCAGCTGACTTCCTGAGACTCAGTTTCCTTGCCTGTAAAATGGGAGTATATGGTGAGTCCCAGGATTCCTAAAAGGTTTCCTAGGCAACCACTGTGTTCCCTGAGGAAGATACTTTTTGGTAACTGGAGACTTGCATTTAAATTTGCAGAGGCCAGAAATGAACATCAAAGGCTATAAATGTTTCTCCCCAGAGCTCTCTAAACAGCATAGGCTCTTGGTTGCCCACCATAATCAGTTGACAAGACTCAATTGCTGAAGACACCAGTCGCTTTGGTTACAGGACATGAAGTCAAGCTGGAACTGAGCTGAGGGCTTCCTCCCTGTTGGCTTGTTTTCATAGTGCCAGAAGGTGACATTCATTCTGTTAGAGAGAAGACATATGTGGCCTTCTGCAGTGTGGACCCCGACTACTGCCACTCTGACCAGTCTCAAGTTGGTGACACTGGTGTCATAGAGTTGTGAGAACCACAGGGGCGACCAGCAATGCAGGGCTGCTCTCTAGAAGGCAACCATGCTTGGTCATGTAAACTGACCAGAGCTCACACTCGGAAGTTGTAGGCCAAGGAGAAACTTGGATCTCATTGCTTGCTGAATGGGAAACTCCCTTCTGAATATTGATGTCTGTTTGCAGAGACTCATGAGTCAGAACACAGAAGAGTGTTCAGCCCTAAGTGGTACATTTGTAGCACCACTGCCCCTCAAGGCTTGGGGAACATCAGGAAGAGGGAGCAGACAGAATGTGAAAGCTGGACAAGATCAGGCCAACAAGACCAGTCAGAGTTCCAGCAGGCAGCAGTTACTAGATTCGGTGGCTTTTACAGAAGAACACATGGAGGGGAGGAGGCTGCTTTGGAGTAACAGGAATAGAGCTGAGTAAAATACTTTGAATAAACTATGAAATTGTTAAAGAATAAAAGATTAAATAAAAAAGTTAAAAGAAATACAAACCAGGGCATGGGTAGTATGTATGTATGTATGTATTTATTTATTTATTTATTGAGGCCGGGTTTCACTGTGTAGCCCTGGGTGTCCTGCAACTCACTCTGTAGATCACGCTGGCCTTGAACTAGAGATCTGTCTGCCTCTGCCTCCTGAGTGCTGGGATTAAAGGTGTGCACCACCTCAGCCCAGCTTGGTTTTCCTTTAAAACTCTATAGAGCAGGCTGTTTTCAAACTCAGAGAGTTGCCTGCCTCTGCCTTACAAATGCTAGGATTAAAGGTGTACACTACCATATCAGGCTTGGTGGTTTACATCTTTAATCCCAGCACTCAGGAGGCAGAGGCAGGAAGATCTTGGTGAGTTCAAGTCCAGCCTGGAATATATTGTGAATCCTAAGGCTAGCCAGGGCTACATAGAGAGCCTTGTCTCAAAAAATAAATTTAAAAAAGCAATAACAAAACATGTATTTTGGTGATTTTGAAGGTTTAATAATAATAATAATAATAATAATAATAATAATAATAATTGTGGATCAGTAAATGTGCAAGTGCTACAAGGACCGGACCAGAAAGGGGCATTATATCCCCTGGAGCTGAAAGTACAGGTTGTTGTAAGCCACCTGATAAAGGAGCTGAGGACTGAACCCAGGCCTAATGGAGAAGAGCAACTGCTCTCAACTGCTGTGTCACCTCTGCAGGCCCAGAGTGTCACTATTCAGATCTCAGTGACCTGTCCAAGGATAGTATGTATTGCCTTTGTTGTTCTGAGACAAGGCCTCACTCTGTAGTCCAGGCTGGCCTGGAACTCAGCAATCTCCCTGCCTCAGCCTCAGGACTGCTGAGGTGGTGGGCATGTAGCACCAAGCCAGGTTCAATGCTAACAAGTCTTACTCCTTTTCACACTTGAATTGTTTTAAGACAAAAAGTCTTTGTCGGACCATTGGATCATTCTACGCAGCAAGCTGAAGTTGAGGGGTGTGGAGGAGTTGGTGTTGTAATCCAGGCAAATCTGGCCCTGCCCCTTGGGAAATTGGCATAATGTGTTACCCTCTGCACATGGCAAGTAGTACCCTGGCTCTGTACGCAGGTGCAAAGTTCCCTTTAAGAGAAAATATCTGCTTGCTCCTCTCTCCACCATATCTCTGAGGAGGCAGGCAGATCTCTGTTTCTCTGTCTCCTCTCTCTCTGTTTCTGTCTCTTCTCTCTCCCCTTTCTCCCTTCCACCACACCCTTTTCTTCCGGAGTAAAATTTACTTCCCATGTAAGTTCTGCCTGAGGGTGTGTTTGTGCTTCACCCCCATGGGATTTGCCTTGGTCCCACCTTGCATCATATTTCTAACAGTTGGAATACCCTTTCTATTCTTCAGAGGGTTACAAAGTTTCCTTATGTGGTGATTTTTGTCTGAGACAGGGGTCTCCCGTAGCCCAGGCTGGCCTGGAATTTACTATGTTGCCAAGGCTGGCTTCCAATTGCAGAGCCTCTTTCCTGAGGGCTAGCATGACAGCAGCCAGCATTGCCTTTCCTTTGGAATCTACTAATTAAGCTCATGATAGCTATGTGGTTTACACAAACTGTATACAGGGAAAGGAGGAGAAACCTCAAAAGAATCCAGATAAAATCTATAGATGTCAATAGCGCCAACTCTCTGATTTTGAAAGTAGAGTTACATAATGTGGCTCCAGTGAGGTGTTGGCTCATCCTTGTGGGAATTAGCAATCCTGGCAAAAGAGGCACCACTGCTACAATAGAGAGCCCACTCACTGGTGGCTCAAATCTCTCATCTCTGGCTGGCCTGTATTGACCAGGCTGTCACTCAGAAGATGGAGGCAAGAGGATCAGGAGTTCAAAGGCAGCCTTAGCTACTTAGTGAGTTTAAGGACAGCCAGGGCAATAGGAGAATTGAAAGAGAAAAGGGGTAGGAAGAGAGAGAGAAAGAAAATTGTTGCCTAAACTTTTCTCTGGGAGATATGAATCATTGTCACTGTCTTGGACTCCTGGAAACCACCCCACCCCAGTCTCTCGTGGTGAGCATGGCGTTTGTTGGGTCACTGGGAGCATGGCAGATGGAACCCTGTACACACTGGTTTCCCACCTCTGGTGCCCCTTGCACTGAGACCACATGTGACTGTTCAGAACGTCATGCAGTTGTGGCAAGTGCAGTAATGGGGAGGCTGCTGCAACCCCACATGGTTTATTTGTTTGGCTTTTTTGTTGTTTGGTTGATTTGGTTTTTCAAGGTAGGTTTCTCTGTGTAGCTCTGGCTGGCCTGTATTGACCAGGCTGGCCTAGAACCTGCAGAGATCCATCTGCCTCTGCCTTCTGAGTTCTGGGATTAAAAGTGTGCACCACCACTGCCCACCATCTACTCCCACTTATT